ATTTTTTTCTAGAAACGCCGATGCGCAATTTTTGAGCAAGTCTGGGAGACCTATGTCTGCAGGCAAAGAGTTGAATTTTTTTTTTTTTACGCTTGTATTGTCTTAATTCTCGAACTATACCAAAACACGTCAAGAGAAGCGACGTGGTTATTCGTAAGAATTACATGGCACAAAGCAACGGGTCTTGAATGGGTCGCTTGTCGGAAATGTAACGGATCTTTCACGTTTTGTTCCCTCACAAATGTGTGTGTGTGTGTGTTCCGGTGTAGAGCGATGAGGAGTTCCAGCTTCACATATCAGAGAAGCGCGTAGAATGAAATATATCAGCGCACATGCACGTTGCTATTATGAAATCAAACGGGTTTGCGGCAGGAGCGGTTTTGCCGCTCTATTCGGAGAAGAGCGAGCGGTTTTCCTTTTCGTCAAATTGGAGTTAGCGAATAGCGCAATTCAGAAAGTGACGTTAGTTAGAAGAAATTTCTCAAGTTAAAATTAATAAAAAAATTTTTTTTATAAAATTTTATTTGTTATACAAATTGCGGTGTCGGCTCACCTTCTACTAAACTTTTCACAATGTGTGAAAATTTTCGAATTAAATTTAACTCGAATTTCGATGTGTCTACACAATTTAGGGAAGTTAAAAAATTCATATTTATATTCGGACATCTAGCAAAAATTCGCATTGACCTTGATTCTTAATTTTTGTCATTTTCTACTCAATTTTGTAATTTTCCATAACATGTCCCGTTTTTGTCTTTTTTTTTTTATGGAAAAAGCAATAAGCTTTCTAACGTAACAAAATACGTCGAAAAAATCCTCAACTCCATAAAAAGACGCAATATGTGCGCGCCGCGGTCTCACATTCTAACGTAACGGTTCCACTTTAAACACCTATAGACGAAAACGAGGTCAGAGGTCAGGAGCAACGCGTTCCCTGCATAGTGCCGACACATCGCCCGAAAACGCGCCCGAATTAGGGTGATATCCTCGAGAGGGTATCTCCCTATCTCTCTCTCTCTCTCTCTATCTATCTATCTATCTACTCATCTTGACGACAGTCAAACACATCCCTGCTCGTTGAACTGATTTGCTCACGGATACTCTTACACACACCGAGTGTTCATTTTTCCCCGCGTGACATGCGCGCCTTTCAACGGCAATTATTCCGCGACGTTTGAGTCTCTCTCTCGGAGAGATTATTTCACGCGAAAACAGAAATGATGCGCGAAGTAATTTTCTCACGACGTGAAATGTCAAAAGAGTATCAAAAAATATCACACACACACACACACATACACACATGTGAAAAATTGTCTAACGACGTTTCTCACAGAAATACGTCGAGAGTTGACATTATGCGAGCAGTCAAATGCGCGGTATGTAAATTTTCGTGCGTCGAATATGATCGATCGCAAGTTACACGAGCGTATATACTCACGAGGCTGCTTTTCGCGGCGCGGCCCTGGCTGTCTGATAACACAGACTATCCCACGCATCGCAACGCGCATTGTGCGATTTCCAAAGTTGTAGCGTGTACGTATACGTGATAGAATACGACACACGTGATGAAAACATCGATAGGTTCTCCCGTATCTGATATCGGGGTTCCGATGCACCCGCACCCCCCGAAGAGATTGTTATTTGTCCGAGGTGCGATACAATTCACTCAATTTATGCGTTATCGATTAAACTCAACAACACACCGACAGACGCCCGTAAAAGATCGTTATTACGCGTCTCTCGCGTTGCGACATTGAATTTTCAAATATAAAAAGACCGCGGCCGCTCGCGTGCCGCGAGAAAACGAACTCGAAATAAATAGAACAGTTGGACGGAGAGTCTCACGCGTCGATAATTCAATCAAGAAGCGATCTGATGTGAAATTTATGTTCACGCGAAAAGTAAAGTTTAAACGATACATAAGCTCGCGATAAAGCTCGTGCGTATTGTACGCACTTATTCTATCGTAAACGATCCCGCAACTACGTAGAGTGGATTAGTTTTATTACACGATTGGATTACATAAACGCTCGATATCTGTTATCAGATGCGCTAGTGTCAGCGTAAATTGAATTTCTTGAATCTTCATATGATGGAGTATACAGTCGATATGTTGATACATTGTCGCTTTACTATCTTCGAACCTGTAATTGATCCGCTGTAAATTCTATCTATAATAGATAACCGTGATTCCCGATTGATATCTTTGTTATTGTTTTAATTAAAGTGCAATAACAGCATCTTATAATATCGCGCGATATCTCGGAAAAACGAACTTCAACGAAGTCAGAAAAGAAAAATTATATTACTCTGGCAAAGATTTACTCGGTCGATGTGTTTGTGCAAAAAATATATATCTTTTTATTTATTTAAATATACAACAAATTAATACACAAATAATTTCAACTGAATTTGATTCGAAAATTCATCTAAGATATTTGATTGGCATCACATATGAATGAAATATCCAATTTACCTTTCTCCTTTCACAGAAGTTAAAAAATCCATTGAAAAGACATCCCGGCCAAAAGCTGAATCTCCCACATTCCGTACAGACGCCTTTACATCGACCTCTTTAATTCGGCAATGTATCTTCAATATATTTTGTAGTGACTTGAACAGGTAAAACTCTGTTAGGACAAGGTCCGGAGAGTAAGAAGGATAAAAAACCGATCACAAAACTATCCCAATTTTTTTTAGTTCCTTTACTGTATATGTAGCCGCCAAGAATTTTTAAATTGTTCATTTTGTGAGAGTTTTATATAAATTTATTATTTTGTATATTTAAATGTAAATAAATATTAAAATTTCACTTTGTTGTTAAATTTATTACTCTACTTGTAAACACTTTAGTTTGTAAATAAATTGGTTTTCTAATTAAAATATAAGATTTAATTAAATGAGATTTAATTAAAATAGAAAATATTGTTTGGGGTTTAAGTCACATCGGGATTTTCCGCCAGCCAAAAAGTGCGCAATGCGAAGTGCGCTCAGTACAGCAACACTGGCGCGGTCCAAAATTAGCAACTGTCCAGAATCTTTTCGCAGTATGAATATCGTCGAGCGGCTAGCCGGTTCGTCTCGCCAGATTCGTCGTGAAACATGAAGACGAATTTGAAATTAAGTATTGTTCGTCGTGATAATGCGGTTCTTATTCGGTAAAAAATTGCAATCAACGAAATATGATCGATCGCTTCGGAAGCACGGCAATAGTGAGAGCAAACATGTCGCTCAATGTCAGATCGTCATTGTCGATTCTATTATTATCAGTGACGAGAGCGCGAAAAAGGAGTAAGTTTTTTCACTATTTTCAATACGGATAAAAATCGGAAATTGTAATCGATAAACAATGTGGGAAGAAGGCGAACTATTTCTCTCTTTCTCTCTCTCTCTTTCTGTCTTTGTGTGTGCGTGACAAGAAAATTTTATCAACTTGGATTTAAGAATTTTTATTCACGAGTTGAGAATCGATCGGACAACGGCGATGCTTCGATTACTCGCGCGGGAAAGTAACTCCGAGGGTTTGTCCCGGAAAATAATGAAATTTCGCGCGTTTAATAACGGTTGACATGAAAACGGGCAGGAAATTAAAGCGGTGGTGTTATTAAGAAAGCTAACAAGCCCAGGTTTTTCCCGTCGCTTGTTTATCGATATCCCGTGGGAAGCTCCCGCGCACAAGCTAATTTACGAGGTGAATTGCTCTCCCGGAAAAAAACCCTCGCTTTTGGGAACGAAAACGCCCACGCGACAAGAAACGGTTGTGAGGGCGAACGAGAATAGGGCGCGTCTCGAAAACGGGAAATGTTTTCGGCTTTTTTCCGTTCCGCGCCGTGGAGAAGCTCAAAACGATCGCCAAAAACCTGGAACGACTCTGATTGGCCATTTCCCTCATCATCATGTCTCTTTTCCGCTATTTTGTCGAGACGCAAAAACGATCTAAAAACGATAACGTCTCTGCAAGCAGCTCAGGTGTGCCACGCGCAGTGATGTCGCGGTGTGGTCGATTACGTAATGCATCCCTCGTCTCAACCCTTACGCGCGGCGTCGTAATAACTTCCAATTTCCTGACCGGGCAGGGATTGCAACGATCCTCGTTTCGCAACACACGGATTGTTTCCCGCGCGGTTTGTTGTTTTCACTTTGTGTGGTCGCGAAAAATCCAATCAGCGCTAAAGTGTTTCCCCCCCGTCGATCGATTTGATTGCGACACGATGACTCCGTTTCAACGAGCGCCTTCCCCGCGATTTTCTTCTCGTCCAATTTCCAATCGAGGACAGCACTTGTACATATATTAAATTGACCTCTCGTGTTTTTTTTTTTTTTTTGTTTCACAAACGCGATTTCGCAATTATCGCGAATCGATTTATTTACTTCCTGCCGCGTCACAAGACGCAATTCACGTTTAAATGTTTATTTACTTTGTTTCACGTTTATGTTTATTTTTGTTGTAATGTATACTCGTGCGTTTTTCGCAATTTATCTTCAAGCGGTTTTCTTCCTCCTGCCAAGATGTGCGCTATAGTTAACGCGAATAGATAACTAATCTTGTGCTTATTACTGTGTGCCGGCAAAAGCAAATAAAAAGCGGGACACACCAGATAACAGATTATCGGAAATCTAAATTTTTCATATGGATGTAAAAAATTAAGTGAGTTAATAATAAAGCACTTGTCACGAGAAAAGAAATCTACTGTGTTTACCTTCACTGCACACTGCGCAAATTTATCTTCCACACTTAGACGATCTTCGTTTCGACGAGTGAAGACTCATCCTTAAGGAAGTCGCCGTCCATTACAGAAAATTCTATTTTCTGCGAACATCTGGTGAACGCGTTCGCCGACAATCGCGATGTCTTGCACAGCAAGTATAATATATATTATCCGAACTATCTCGACCGGTTACGCGTTTGCCCGCGTCAGGCCTGTGTAGTATGTTCAGCGATTGGCAACCACGACCGGTGGCGACGTGGTGGGAACGATGCGTGTTGCGTGTATGTCGCGAGCGAAGTATAAAAGTTGTCGTCGCCGACTCGCCGCCAACTATTCCGATTCTGACATCGTCGATCCAGTATCGTTCCGGTCGCAAATCGCGCGAGCTGTCGACGCGGCCGATCTAAATTGCGAAAAAAAATTCGTTCGTGTCGAAGAAAAACTCGAAATCGCACCTGACGAACATCTGTTCGCAAACCGTCGAGCAGGTGAGGCGAACTCGGCGTGAGAGATTCTCGGCGACCTGCGTGCGAGAAGGAAAATCGGGGATGCCGATGTGCGCCTGTGAGAACAGGACTCTGGACGAGTCGGAGGAACACGTTTGTTCGCCAAAATCGCAGCCAGATGGGAACAAGATCAAGGAGACCAGAGAATGCGCCAGTTCGGTTAGGTATGGGCGATTGTTTGGTTTTTGTCGCGGAAAAACCTGAAAGACGTCACTCGGAATCCGGTATAAGCACGCGACGCAAAATGAATTTTAATAATGAATTTTTAAATGAATTTTATAGGTCAAGTAAATAGGTAAATGGATACTAGAGAGAGATCTTTATTTCGATTTCTTCTCTCCGTTGGAACGGAGCGCAAAACTAAATTATACCTCACCAATTCCATTAACTTCAACTTTTGCAAGAAATGCCGACTTCTAGATACGTTTTTAAATTGATGAATTAAAGAAGTAATCTCGAACGTAACAGTCTCATCTTTTAAAAAAAAAAGAAAATGTGTGTGTGTGTGTGTGTTTAACTGTGTCAGATACTTATATCATATTTTTATATAGATATCATGTCGGTGGAAGCGTTTGTTAGTTTAGTTGAAAGATAAGTATCTTATAAAAACATGAAGTGAATTATTATCTGCGTGATGTTTCTCCATTTATCAATTTCTTCACACCATTAAATAATTTGCTGAAATTATTCTTTGGTATATAAGACGAAACTTTCATATGTTTTTGATAAGAGTATTTTCTTAAAATTATGTATTTCTTTACATATATTTTATAAATAAGATAAAAGTAATATTCTAAATCAACGGCTATATAGAGCCAGTGCAGGATGTTGTGCAATAAAAAATTTATTTTTATATGATCGGTTTTTGTTCCAAAACCTTTCGACTTTAGATAATAAGATAAAAGTGTTAGAGAATCCTCTGGTCCGGTGGATTAAAATTCTTGCTTGATTAATAAAAAGGGGCTATGCCGGAACACACACGTTTGCCAGGTGTATTGTGCATTAAATATTTTTAAACTAATAAATATTATTGGTCGTTTAAGAGCCGTTCGCTAGACGTTATGCAGGAAATATGTCTATATATATATGTGCGTGTGTACACATATGTAATCGAATTCACGTTTTAAATTAATTTGGGGGGATATTCAGGGCTCTTCATATGCGAGATGCAAAATTTAGCATCCTATATGATTATAATAATTGTAATTACAATTCAAAAAACTCACGTGAAAAACGTGAATTCAATTATATATGTGTACACACGCACACATATATATATATTAAATATTTTCACAAGTCTATATTATTTCCCAAGGTTTCAACTTTATTTTGAAGTCATTTTCAGGGGACTTAAATTGAATATCGTTTACTACACAATTATAACATGTCAAAAAGATTAACAAAAGAACAATGTCAGTATAAAATAGTTATTGTAAGATAAAATTGAAACTGTGTTTATGTCACGTAAGATGAAATTGAGACTGTCACAGTTTATCTTACAATGACTATTTTATACTGACTAATTACAATGACTAATTACAATGACTAATTATAATGACTATTTTTTATACTGACATGTTCTTTTGTTAATCTTTTTGACATGTTATAACTGTGTGGTGAACGATATTCAATTCAAGTCCCCTGAGGATGACTTCAAAATAAAGCCGAAACCATGGGAAATAATATAGACTTGAAAATATTTAATACAATACATCTGGCAAACGTCTGGCATAGCTCCTTTTTATTAATCAAGAATATATTTTATATTTTAAAAATTATCTTTTGTTTTTTTAATACGTATACTTTTTTTTATTTTTTAATTATTATACGTATTACACTTTATTTTTTATATTTTATATTTTTTATATTTGTTTTTACATATTTTCATATTTACTAGTATAGTTTTTATACACACACTTAAACATTGTTTAATAATAAATAAAAAAAGTAAAATAAATAAAAAAAAGCAATACTCAAAAGAGTATCAAAAAGTATCAATTTACATACTGAGTAATAATGTTGATACCGAGAGCGTTTCAAGGCCTTCCTCTTTTTTGCTTGTTAATTCTGAAATAACTTTTTAACAGCTGTCATTAAAAAGATATCTGCTGCTCTTTCGTTAACGGAATTTTCGATAATTATGTCTCGCGACTCGCAGAAATTAAGATTATTAAAGTCACAATCTCTCAATGCAGATATTTATTAATATACGGTGTCGTTTTGTTTTATCCGTTACCCTGATGCAACAATATGCAAATAGATGCCTGAAAAATCTCTTTCTGTTCGAGCGCGCTCGAACGAATTCCATTTCCGTAGAATTGAACTATCGTATTTGCTCCGAGTAAATCTGCCGAGCAAAAACGAATGACAAAAGGATCAAGTAGTACGACATCTTTGTTAAATACCTTTCTTACAAGAGAGAATCTGTTAGACAAGGCTCTTCGAAAACGAACATGACTGACCGCAAGAATCGATTTTACTTACGGAATTGGCCGGAGAGGACACCGAGCATCTCTGATTCTCCGAAGCTCTTTCCCCGACATTTATATTACGTTCGTCTTTAATTACTTTTAGCCGTTTAAATCCAAATTGGATTACTTTCGCGCAAGAGAATTAGCGCAGATTGCGCGATACACGAAACCGAGGACTACGAAAACTTTTCGAAAAATTTCGGACCTCACACAGAGAGACAAGCGCGAATAAGTTGGATATATAATTATGTTTAATATTTTAATGGTGTTTCGAGCTCTCATCTTTTATTGATTTCAGTTTAAAGTTTAAAGTTAATACGCTATTTGTACGATTATCTCCGCCAAAGCAACCGCTTCAACAGTGTTGCCAACTCGTTGCGAGCGTTTCCTACGAGTGTGTGTTTGAAATCCTGTTAAATCCTACCAAACACTCGAGCTCGGGCTCGGAGATGGCGTATGTGTGTGTATAAGCCCAAAGTTAAAAACTACTAAACTTCCTACGTGCATACGTGTTGACGTAATTCTCTTAACAGCTTATTTAAAAACTAAGAATCCTACTAAAAATTGGCAACACTGCGCTTTATACATTTGCAAAGCAACAGAAAACTTGGAAATTTGCGCAGTGATAAAAATAGTTTTAGTTTTTTTTTTGAAACATTTACTTTCAACCAAAATAAAAACTGATTTAGCTCCCCGTGCGACTTCCATCTGTTCCCAAACCTCAAAAAATCGAAGGATTTTCGATAGTGTGAGGTAATCGATGCCGTACATATCTGAGAACAAAATCGTTCTTCTAAACGTCTCTAAAACATTGTTGCACCGAAGAAATGGTATTCTTGTTTTGAGGATATCCCACTTACTTGAAGTATATTTTATACTAAAATAGGCGCCAAGAAGAGTTTCTTATTTTAAGAGGAAAATCCTCTAAATAGTAATATTGATAAGAATATATACTGATTAGAATATAAAAAGCCTCTATAGAAAAACATACAATATATATCTCACTATCGAAAAAGACTATATTCTTAAATTAAGAATATATTCTCAAATAAAGAATATATTCTTAATTTCAGAAGAATATCATCTAAAATTTTTAAGATTTTTTAAGTATAAAATCTTCTACTTACGAGAATATAATTTTTTCGGGCAAAGTTGTGTATCAAGTTAAATGAAGACTGCGTTGAGAAATAAATCCAAATTAGTCCTAAAAATGTTGCTTTTTTTACTTAGGCCCGCCAGCTAAACTTTTCAAATCGCCCTCGTATTTCGAAAAAATGATTAAAATTTGAAAAATCTTTCATCACGTTCTATTCCGCAATTTTATTCTCAATAAACTGTTTTAAATGTAAATTTTAAATGTAAATTTAGAGTTTCTTATACGATTTATTTTAAAGTACATTATCGCGTATGACACGTACAGCTCCCACACACACACACACAATGTTTAGTACTTTTCTTATCTCCAATATAAAAAATTACTGTAAAAAGGAAGAAATATATATTTTGTAACAACGCCTGGTCTGCGATAAGGATGCGCATTTGCGAAGAAACGGAAACGACAACGTTGCGAGCTGCGCAACTTCACGGCAGACCGCAGACCGTGTATTTTCGCATTCCTGACATTATTCACGCGAAACATAGTTTCCTCCATCGAGTTTGCAAACGAAGACCGAGAGGGAAGAATAATGAGAAACGTGCCATGATACATTACAAAAGAAAGATAATGCAAAGGGAGACCTTTCTCGGGAAGACGAAGAAGATCGCGTCAAAAGAGAGTGAAGAATTCTTTCCGAGGATCGAACACATCGCGTAATGCAATAACGGAACGTGAAACTAATCACAGTTGTAATCGCTGATAACACGACGTTACAACAGTAGATTACATTTGTGTTTACCCTTCGATTTTTGTCCAATGGTAAAAGAGACGGCTTGAGCAAGTCCCGCGATTTGATAATATTTTAAGGAGAATCTCACAGAAAGAGAATCACAAATATTTGATATATATATATATATATATATACTCGATATATTGGGTTGACCAATAAATGATGTCCGATTTTTCCATAGGGCGTAGTTTCTATTGTTTTTGAAACACAAGATTATTGAAAATAATCCGCACAAGAGATTGCTGAAGTATCAGGAATATCGGAACCCGATGAGAGAACCATTTGCATCAACTCGGTTATGTTCATCCACATTACTTATTGGCCAATCCAATGATATATATATATTTGTCAAGAGTTTCATACTTCCTCCTCTCCTCCGTCCTATAATCCTCCGAGAAGATGTGGTGACACCTCATTTTTTCAAATGATTTTATTCTTCATAGAGGTGCTCTCATGGGAAAATTAATCGAGTGGTTTTCCGTTGCGTGGGTCTTACAGACCCAGTACAGTTCTCATAGATTTTTTTTATCTACGGTCGAAGAGTATTATAATTATTAGTCAAAGTAGACTTGAATAATCATAACTTAGAATCTTGATATTTTGTGGGTTATAGTGCCGGACATTCTGTATATAAATTATTTTTTTTGCAGTAATATCGCGCATCGATTACCGCGAAGTCAGAAGCAAAATAGTATTAGGCCAATGAACGATGATGACTTAATTACGACGTGCGAATGTCTGTCGACAACTGGGGGATTGATTGGGTTTGGACGAGAGCGCGCATTAACGAAGTCAATATTCGAGGCTGACACAATTAACGGGGTGTCGCCCGCCGGTAAATAAAGTTCGTGACATCGTTGTTATCAAAGGTCATCGGTGCACGACAAGCAGACCTCGCTCGTTACTCGTAATATTTTCGCAAAACGCGCGCATTGAATGTTTCGCAATTTTTATGACAAAGCTCGATCGTTATCATCCTTGCAGGTACATCGATGGCTCGGTACGACTGCGAAATCCCAACATCGAGCTCATGGATCAAGACATACTGTATCACCTCGCTCTCGGCAGCGGCTCCCATGATCTTGTTGAGATGTTCGGCGACGTCAAGGTGGAGTATAAAATATTTGCACACCAACTTTTGCGGTAATCCTTGACAGCAAGTTTGTATATCCCAATTTTTGCTTGAATAGAGATCGCTCTTCTCAAACCGGTTACGGTTCTACAGTCTATCGTAAAAGTATTCGAACGTCGCGATAGAGTCGCGAATTTTTTTGCCGATAGATTGTGTTGCGTGTCGATGTTGCGAGGACCTTTTAAGTCAATACGATAAATTAGTTTTCTGTTTATTGTAGTTACACAATAATCAGTTTTATGTGTTTATTATTGTTACACAACTCTTGTATAACAACAAAAACTCGGCTTCATCAACACAATGTTTTGTTTTTTTCGTATCAATATTTCCGTACTTTCGATCATTTTGACAGCTCGACTTCGTAAATGTGTCGACGCCGCAGCGGACTGACGGTACCTGATGTCTCATTTTTCGTCTCGACGATTTTTTGACGATCATTAAAAAGAAAAAAATATTCGCTCTACTTTTTAATACGCGTGTGTTGCGTTACGCGTCAACTTGCTAAAACAGTGTGTAAACAAAACTAAACATTACGTATAAATATCAGACTTGTTATTTTTTTATTTATTAAACTTAATCCTTGCCTTTCGGCTTTGGATGGCTTCCGGTTACTTTACATTTTTTTACATTTTACATTCTTTACATCTTTACATCTTTACATTTTTACATTTGCCCGAAATAACTTTCATTTTCATTTTAACATGTTAATAACATATTAATATATATTAATATAGTAATATATTAATATAGTAATATAGTAATCTATTAACCTTTTAGCATCTTGGAATATCAGACTTGTTTCTTCCGAGCGATTTATACATTTCCGTGATCGTTTGTTGTTGTTGTTGTTTTTTTTTTTTTTTTTTTTTTTTTTTNTTTTTTTTTTTTTTTATCATTTATCAACAATTGATTAATCAATGCGTTCTTATCCTTCGACACTTCCCATCTGAATCGAAAAACCGGAACATGCACAATCATCACGCACGAGACTAGACAATGGCATGCAACGTGCTCGTGATAGTGGCAATGATAAAATCGCTGATATCCACAAAACGTTTTTTCGATAAAGCGCACCAGCCGCTTCCCGCTCGTTTAGTTTTGTTATTGCAATTGATGATCTCTGACATTTCAGATAAATTATAAAACGCGTCTTGAGACGCGAAGGATGTCGTTTCATCATCCCAATATCGTTTCACTTCCTCTCTTTTTTTTTTGTGTCGATCGCGATTATCACTTGCGCTAACGACACAAAACGTGATCTTTCTCTCAATCACAGATTCTTCTTTTGCAGTTTGTCTGTATGGGCGGGACGCCGAAAAGAATGGAAAACTTTGCAAACTTCATTATGAAGGAGATAGGTCACAAGTTGCCGGTCGGAACGACTCTTCTCGACATCACCAAGAACTCTTACCGCTACTCGATGTACAAAGTTGGCCCCGTTCTCTCCATCAGCGTGAGTCTCGCTATTTATACATTTTTTTATCACGCCGTAGTGACAACGTTTTATCGTCACAGAGAACAAGTTTTTTTTTTTCCCCTCGTCTCGCGATACTGCAAAAAAATTCACACTTTGTAATTAATTAAGAAAACCTGGCGATCAATTGGCGACGGGACGTCGTTTATAGCGTTTCGAGCAAATTTGCGTAAACGCGCGACTCGTGTCTGCTCGCTATAATGAGATAAACGCGTTCGTAATGAAAGTTGTTATCTCGCAATTCACGCAAGCCGTGACCGATTTTACTCGCAGATATAATTGAATATCGCGCGCGCGACAGATACGTTCATCAGAAACTACGTCAGTCAGCGCGTAAAAGATCGTAATAATGCCGAGCGAGCAAAATTATGAAACATCATGTCATACAATAAAAATAAAAATTTGTTTCGTTTTAGCACGGAATGGGCGTACCCTCGGTCAGCATCTTGCTCCACGAAATTATCAAGCTAATGTACCACGCGAAAGTCAAGGATCCGATTTTCTTCAGGATCGGCACCTGCGGCGGTATTGGCTACGAAGGCGGCACGGTCGTCATTTCGGAAGAAGCCGTGGACGAATCGATGAAATCCTACATGGAACTGGTTAGTAATTGATTAAAAAAGCTTCTGGGAACTAATTCCAATAATTAAAATAGACCTTAAAGCTACAGTCCACCGTGGTGGTTTGCAAACATTCTTGCGCATAATTGTCTACTCGTCTGAACTAACATGTGTTACAAGCAGTTTTTATGTTTTACTTTCCGCACAGTAAATTTTTTTATACTATTCGTTTTTTTCATATTGTTTTTATTGTTTCTTTTTTTAAAAAAAATATACCAAAAGATCGAATCTCATTTTCAAACACATCGCTCGGATAATAGTTCGGGAGTTTAAAGAGGATTAAGGTTAATAGCAGTAATTATGTACTTTGCAAATGTGTGTTTTCGTTTTGCGGCACATTAGAACAGTATTCAGAGTTTGTAACACATTTCTTTTCACTGTATAAACTTATGCACGTTATTAGTCGCTCTAACAGTAGAGCAATGCGAGTCCAGGAGAAAAAAAGAAACACAACTGCAAAGTAGTTTCTTTTTCTGAACACGCCTACTAACTCACTAACGAAATTGCTTGTTATTGAATTAGTAGAATTCATTAATTGTCATTGATTTCCAATGAAACTGTTTATCACTAAATCAATCGGCGAAATTTTAACTGATTTCTAGTGGAATTAATCTGTTACTGAATCAGTGAACTTTTTACTCACTTCAAGAGGAGAGATATTTTTTCGAATCAATTGACTGAAATTGTCTGTCACTGAGTTAATTAGTGAAATTTTATCTGATTCTACTTTAAAGGCATATGATGCATCACAAAAAGCAATTAATTTTATAATTACATTTCTGTTCGAGCCATAATCGAATGTATCTTTGTGGACTTTAATAAAGCTGTCTAAAATGTTTAGATTTCTAAAAAAAAGTTCATGTTTTTTAGAGACTTAACGATATAATGTCAGAAAACTTAAGAATGAAAGGTTTAAAACACTAAAACTTTTTTATATTCCAATTTTTGGCAATTACTCACTCGCCACAAATTTTTTTTTTTTTAATCGTCATTTTCGTTTTCAATTTTTATTTTTGCAAACGTTGCAGATAGTGCTCGGAAAGCCGATCCGCAGGCCGGCCAAACTGGATCGGCAGCTAGCTCGCGATCTGAGGGCCCTGGCGCACCGTGACGATCCTTACGACACCGTGATCGGCAAGACCATGTGCTCCAACGACTTCTACGAGGGCCAGGGCCGCCTGGACGGCGCGTTCTGCGAATTCACAGAGGCCGACAAGATGGATTATCTCACCAAGCTGCAGAAAGCTGGCGTGGTAAACATTGAGATGGAGAGCATCTGCTTCGCCGCGCTGACGCATCACGCCGGAATACAGTCGGCAGTGGTGTGCGTAACTCTATTGGATAGACTCAAAGGCGACCAGGTATATCTAATCTACGTACGTTCGGCACCGAGCACGCGCGTAATCCGAGTTGCTTTATGTTACGTCGTAAATAGCGGGGATCACCGCTATGCAACACGCCTCCGGGTCTTCGTTGTGTCAATCCTCTAAGGATTCCTGCAACGTAATAACGTCATAGCAAATCTCACGTATATTAAACTCGGTTGAAAAGCACGATCTCGCATACAAAACCTCGCAAATGTGTTCACAGACTGATTCTTTATTGAACTAATATTGATTTTATCGATCGCGTGTCTAATTGCTCATCCCTGATCTGCGAAGGTTCTGGCGCCCAAAGAGGTTCTCGAGGAGTGGCAAATGCGACCGCAGCAGTTGGTCGCTCGCTACATCATCAAATACCTTCAGCGAAAGGGTCGTCTCTCTCTGGAAGGACACGGCTCCATGTACGTGAAGAGTCCGCGCCGGTTCAAACTGGTGCAGCAGGAGTCCGAGAATTATGACTAAAGTTGCAATCGGACGTCCGTTTGAAGATCTCTCGAGCTCGCGGATCCGCGATCGGACACACCTGTGGCTCGACGTCTGCGGGATCGGCGGCGATCACTTAATTTTAACGGCGCACAAACTGGATATTTCCATTTACTCGCGTGACAAGTTATTCGGCGGCTTATCCGCGGTAAATGGTGTATATTTGACTTAAACTAAAGAGGATGTGTGCGAAGAAAAGAATTGTTTTTGTTTTTAAACATGAAAGCAGATACAAACAATCTAAATATTTTACGCCCCCGATAGAGTATTTTCAACGTTTAGAGAAAACACAAAGTAAGTAATGTTAAAAATTACATACAAGAGTGTTCATGTGTATGCTTACATGTTCAAAAGTTTATTTCTTTATTTATGAAAGTCTGTTGTCGGACAACATCTTAATATATTGTTGTTCGGAAAGTTTGTGTGACGATTTTCAGTAGATAGCGTTTCTGTAAATCGGCAACATGTCCGAAACATGTACACGAGACATCGCGTGCAAACGTTAAAAACATCAAACAACACACCATACATTTACACAAACTAAATTATACTATTTAGTAAAATAAACCTTTAAATGTCGTTCAAAAACGCTACGTACTTTCCGAACAATCCAATATAATTGCGCAGTTTTTAATTTTTTCTTGCATTTTATTTGTAAATCTAATTGTAACCAGAATTATCTTATTATCTAGTTTGACTGTACATGTAAGAACGCTTTGATTTCCGAAAACTCGCAAGATTTTACAATCTATGATACACTGTATAATGATATACTGAGAGGCGACCATCAAAAAAAATTTAACCGCTTGTTTTGCGCGGTGACTCAAGTACAAAAACATAGAAACAAACTTACGAACTGCGCTCGAGCGAGAAAACTGTACGCGTATTTTTTTTTGTTTTTTTTTTTTTTGTTTTTTTTACAACATATCTTTTGTCGGTTGCGTAATTTTCGATCATTAATCGTGATTAGAAAAATATCGTTTGATCTACAATGTTAAAATTTACGTGTGTGTAAATTTTAACAAAAAAACTTTACTCTTTTAAAACTTAATCCCTCCGTCTGCATAATGGAAATTTCAGTCCCCAAAGAAAAGCCCGATTTTTCCTTCGCATTTACCTTCGAATTTTTATTTTTCTTGCAAAAAGATTTTAATATTTCGCTTAAGTGTCGCTTCTATATTTCAGTAAAAATCGTATAAAGTGTCTCAGAATTTTCTAAGAGTTTTTTAAAGCCTACAACAGTAAGAAAATCTAGATCTAGGTTTCTCAGATTCGGTTGTGCAAACGGCGTTAGTAAAACAACACATTGCAGATGGAGGATTAAATTAATATTTGAATGTTTCTTTGAATTTTGTGTTTTTTGTTTTTTCCTACTAATATTTTTTCCGGAAAATGAGAGTTACGACGATTATTTCGTAAAATGTTTAGGGATCTAATATCGAGAAATCATAAACGAAAAAAAATCCGCTAACGGACCTATTATCGCGGTTTATTATCACATGGTTTGCGAGAACAACAGTTTTCCGAAGGAAAAATTGTAAATTTAGCGCGCGCGATGAGGCGTGTTTATGTGTTAGTTAGCACTTTTAGCAAGTTCGGTGTAGCACATTCCATATATATATATATATATATACACACACACACATATACGTATATAAATACACATACACGTACAGATATATATGTATGTCTATACATATATAGAGTATGTATAATATAGTCAAACAACTAGCGTGTTTCGTTCAATTGTTATTTATGTAACGTGGGCGACAGTTATATGCATATATATGCGTAAGCTTCGAGAAAACGCTCCCATGACACTTGCAAGTGTACACATAGAATGGATTAACAAACACTATATAAACATAAATTTCAAAAAAGATCGTCTCCTGAAAAATTACAACTTTTGTACAACCATTCAAAAATAAGTGGGAAGTGCCAAAGAAAGATTTAGAAAAGAGAACAATTTGTCATTTTTATACCGACGTTTTGTGGACATTTCAATTCACTTACCAGAAATCAAGCTGCTCTTGATGAAGCAATCCCTGGTGGAGTATAAATGTCCGCGAAACGTCGATATAAAATGACACAAATTTTCAGGAATATTTAATACGACGTTTCGTGAACATTTTAATTCACTTCGTTAGAGTTCAAAATCAGTGTCAAGTGGACTGCTATCAAGGAAACTGAAATATTCACGAAACGTCGGTAAACAAATGACTAACGCGGTACGAGCTCAAAATCTTCTCAGGAATTCTTGTAACGTAAACGTAAAATATTACATTATTAAAAATTCTATTGTAATGTGTAGTGTTATTGGAGCGAAAGAAGATAACCATAAAAATAAAACACGGATTTTGATTACATCCTCTGTATCAGTATACTACGATAGCGAGATAGAATAAAAAAAAAAAAAAACCACCGATTTGTCACAACTTGTTATCCGGAAAACCATGTATTGTACTGCCACGTTGATGTTTTTAAAATATTCCGAATCATTGGACAACATATCACAATACAAAACAATCATATAATTTCGTACGACGTTTGCCGTTGAGAGGATGCTGAAGCGACAAGTCAAACTCAGATTTGACAGCCGCTCAGCCGCTACGCTGTCCAAGTAAGTAAGCGCCTTCTAGTTGGACCAAAAAGAATGGATGATATAATAGAGATAGGGTTAGACATATGTGTCTTTCCAGCGGTTCTGCTAAAACCGTACTAATTCTAGTTTTCGAAACTCTTGTTTCTTACAAATTTCAAAGTCATTTTCTGAAAGACACATATGTTTAACCTTGTCTTTATTATGTCATCTATTCTTTTCCGACTAGAGAGCGCTACTTACTGGACAGCGGTAGCGGCTCAGCGGCTGTCAAATCCGAGTTTGACTTGTCGCTTCGGCATCCCCTTAAACGCGAATTTAATTCTTTGATCTTTGTGTGTATTACACTAAAAAAAAAAAAAAAAAAAGACACGGACCAATACAACAACCAAATTTTCCTATTTTTATCAGAGACAAGACACTGCATTACGTATGCGCGTGTACAAGTATATTCGATATTTGTAGGCATACTCGATGCTCGGCAAAATACAAAAGAACAAGAATACACAAAAATACAATTACGATTCTTTTTTTCCGTAACTGATTCCGTAATATCATTTTTTTAAGTCGCTCTTGCGAGAAGAGAAACAAAACATTTAAAAATACATCCACTCCCAAAAGCCCACGTTACAGTTCTCGTTCATTATTATTATCATCGATACTCTACTACCGTAGATAGCAAAGTTGTATAGTTGTATGATACACACCTTCGTTAAGGTTGTTGCCAGCCGATGCGTACAATTTTGCCTTCGTCGTTCACGTTCGTTATACGACATAAGCAGTATTGCGGAGAGCCCGGAGTCGATACGTATAATATATTATACATATATATATACACACAATTGTAATAGCAGATCACCATCGAGAGATTTTACGACGTTTCGTTCTACTTTATGACATATTGTGTCCAGAGATGCCAGATCGCGCCGGACAGCATCGAGAGTATCGAAGGCGGTGGGGATACCCCGCTTCGATACTCTCGATGCTGTCCGGCGCGATCTGGCATCTCTGATTGTGTCTATATCGTATTAGTCCCCGAATAAAATTTATCGTCGCGTTTTGTTGGTGCCAAACACAAATACGTTCGATAGTTCCTTTCGATTTCTGTTCACACCGATGAGATGTCAACTCTTGCGTGCGTTTCGTTCGCGATTATACACATTTTTGAGTTCTCTTTTCGTTCCACGAACAACGACATATCTGTGATGCGTACTTATTAAACGCGTGCGAAGAGTATTAACAAAAATGTACCTAACGTTAATACGTATAATTATATATTAAATGTGCATTCTCGATCCTCTATATATATATATATACATACTTACTATCTCCTCCACGTGAGTAAACGGCTATTTCTCTACTTGTTGTACGATGTTGAAGTACAGTTGTTCCGTAAAACTCTTTCGTGTGTTTACCTCTCACTCAGCTGTCAAAAAATACGCTACTTCTCACCGAGAATCGTCGTCTGGTGCAGGACGCATCTCATTATTGTAAGTTAATGTTATAATCAATGCTGTATCTATATTCTCACTCGATTATTTATATGCTAATCGAAAAACTTCTATGTCCTTTAACGAAACCAATTGGTCGTACAACGCACGAGTTACAATGTACGAAAGAAGAAAAAAAAACCACTGTTGTTGATTGTACACGTTATAAAAGGACAATAAAAAAAAATATATATATATATATATATTACGTACCTTGCGACGCTCTTGCGACTTGCGCGCCTGTCTCCTGAGTTTTAGTCCGGAAGAACGTGACGCAGGAAGAAGAACGCAACGATTTTGAGGATGCAAAAGATGTGATTTATTTCGTAAAATAATGTACAAATAAATAGAGATGTGTGTGTGAGTGTGTGTCTGGGGAGACAACGTTACAATTTTTTTGTGGATTACATCCTAAATACGGGGTGTATACGCAATTGCGTGTATACGCACGCAAGGACGAGGAAGTGGTCGTTTCTGTTTTTTCTTTTTCTTTTGTAGTTTTTATGGTCGCGATCGATCGAATGCCGAGTCTCTCTGACAAAAATTGCGACCGAATCAGCGGCGCTTTTGCCGAAAAGAGAAACGACAATTAATCGATACGACAACAAGTAAATTCAGTTTGTAATTTCATCTTTTTCTCGCGGAAAGTGCACGTATAAAATCCATGGTGAAACAGACAGACCGTGTGTCGCGACATGTGTGGGTCCGGGGAAATCACGTCTTATATCGAGGTTTGTGTCGATCGCAGAAACTATATACGAGGACGATTCAGAGAGCAAGAATGATTCGATGGTGTTGCGGCAGACATTTATTATATTACGTTTCAACGTAACGTACGATATTTAAAAAATTCACGTCTTCTTACTGGAATAAAAATATTAAGAAATTATTTTTTTGTTTAGAGAAATAAAACATATCTTAAAATGATCTAAATTTAAAATTTTGTTCTAAAATACACGCGTATCTAACAATTCAAAGATGTAACATTAATTAGTGTTTTATTCCCCTACAGGAATGTTGTTGGGACATTGATACCTCCTCTCGATTCGTCCCCGCGCAAGGATTTGCGAGGGAGCGACGCAAGTCGCTCGGGAGAATGAAGAACATGAAGTGTGATTTTTATTATTACTGGAATTTCTCAACTCTCTCGTTATATAGTGTAGATCGCTGTTAATTATTACAGTTAGGGTGTAGGGGTATCGACATAGAGTATAGAGCCGCGATTACCGCGTCATCGTGAATTCGCACACACGATGACGTAGCGACGGATAGCGTGATGAATTAGTGGATAACGATGATATCAATCTTCAGCCGTAACGATCGCAATAATAATGGATTAGCTTACTTAAAAATATTCTTTATATGTCTGCAGAGGGGAGAGATTCGTGTTCTCCCGTTCGCGTTCGATCTCTCGCGACGCCCGTCACAACCAACTATTTTTCGGAGCGCTTGCTTCCATTTGCGGCCGAATCATCATCCCGAAAGAGAATTCCGTTTGCCAGAATTATCAGTCGCACAGATCCCGTTGGTAAAATATATTGCGCGGATTGCCGATTTGCCTCTGTTCATTGCACAGATCTCGCAGGTCGGCTGCGCGTTGCACAGAAATTCCGTCACACGCAAGATTCCACACTTCCGCACATGGCCGACTTGATACTTCCCACACTCTCAAGTTTTGTTTATGGGAGGGCGAAATCGGCAAGATTCGACAAGCTCGAAAAAATTACATGTTTCTGCGCAATAAGGTCATCTATGTTAATATACGTATATAGTGTTTTGTACGACGTGTAGCCAAGTATGAGATTTGGGCAATGATTATTATAGGGAATACATGCTTCTGCGCAATATGTTGTCTGTACAAACCAGACACTGCAGGCAGGCGAACGATATCTGTGCAACATTCGATCAGACAATTGAAATCCGAGCAAACAGAGTCCCGCCCGAAAAAAAAAAATCAAACACAAGATATACATTATTTACAGAGGTTTTGGATTTTCTCTGTTACACACATGTCGCTTTGGCAGTTTGATATTTTGATACCACGCCGTTACACAATGAAACCGAAGTTATGCGCGGAGTTGTATTTTTGCTATTTTTGTGTTTCTCCTTTGTAATCCTTCTCTCTATCTCTTTCTCTCTATATAGGCCATAACTGCCTCCCTTTATTATCGGCGTAGCAAGCCGTAATAAAAGTGCACCGCGCGCGCTGTCGATCGACAACCGTGTAATGGTCGAACGTAAAATCCGCAGGCCCGCGGTTTTACGAAATTGAACTCTCGTTCGACGTCAAATCTGCGTATTGATTTCCGCACGGATTGACGAATTTTTTCCATATTTTTTTTGTCGACATTTTCCTAGGGAAAACGTAGAAACGTTTTGCATTTTCGCCGCATGTGTGAAATTATTCGCTCAATCTTCTCAATCAAAATGTTTCTTTTAAAATAAATATCTAAAAGGATTTGTTTCTGCGCGCAAATGGAAGTCACCAATTTAACCGCCGGTTAAATTTAATAAATCCTAAATAATTTTCAACTATCACAAAAAGGACGAAGTTACTGGCTGATTGCCGCGATAATATCGTAAATGTGGCCAGACATTATTGAGATAAAAAATATTACACGGAGCTGGAATGTTTTCTCCGACCTGTCAAATGTACAATCGTTTATTTTAGTTTCAGGAACAAAACAGATTTTTTTGTGTGTGTCCGTTATTATCCGAATTTTATATTTCATTTTAACCTTCACTCGTGCGACGTCGCGCTCAACGAGAAACGGGACAGAATCGCGTCGGATCTCTTTTTATCTTAAAGTATATAATTATAATAATAATAATAATGATATAATATGTATTACATGATAACGCGTGTCTCTCTTTCTACGGATACTTTGTTTTCTTTTTATAACTGCGTTTATATCAAATGTATCGAGTACACTGGAACGATATCTCTAAACTTAATCAGCCTCTTTATATAATCAACAGCTATATAAAAACTCATCCTGATGTGTCGTAAATTATTTCCTAGCTTATATATATTTATATATATATATATATATGTATAGGTATGTAACATCGTGGATGTATCGCGAGTGCCGCGCGGCTCACATCTTCTTCTCGAAAAGCTCGACTCGACAAGACGATACATCTACAGATCGCACGCTTACGTTTCTAAAATTTAACGCGAGGCCTGTAGACGGGCAAGCGTTGAACGGACAGCTCCATAAATCTCGCCCGCTCTTGTGTTATCACAAATGTGCAATTAGGCTAATTACGCGCGGGTCAATCGTCCGCGCGAATCTGTTGTTCATTCTCGGAACAATTGATTTCGCAACCAATGATCTGTGTACGCAATGTCGCGATTACTAATAACAGCAATTAAGTTTTCATTTTTTTTTTTTTTCTAATTTCAAAACTGATATATCGACGATTGATCGAACAGCGAGAAAAATGGCAAATTCCACGTTGCGAACTTGCCCGCTTACCAGCCTCCCGTGTAAGTAAGAATTAAAATCGCAATTAGCATAATCACTTGATTCGATCTTATGGCTTACGTGCCTACGCGTTTCTATCACAATTTGTCTAAAATAAAACGAAAAAAAAAAAAAAAACAAGGAGAAACATATATCACTCTCTCTTATGTACGTAACCGGTCGACATGCAGCGCGAGAAAGCGCAACGCACTTTTCGCTTACTCAGGGGAAGGATGCACCAAACGAGAAGCGACGCGAGTCGCGTCGTCAATTTCCGACCTTGAGCCGTCTTTAATCCGCAGACGCGTAGCAATTCGTCCGAATCACATACATTTTGCTCGGACTTGATAAAAATCAATTCGATTTTTGTAAAAATTCAATAGGAAAAAAAAAAACACATCTTAACGTTTAAACTAAAACGTA